CAGAGCAAAGATAAATTCAAGAACAAGAAATTAGTTACAGAAAGCAATGAGATTAAAAGAGAAGTAGTAAAGCATTTTGAAGGTTAATTTAGAAAAAGAAACTATCAGTTTGAACAAATAAATGATAAATGGGCAAAAATTTATGAAGAACAAAGAAGGATTGACCAAGACTAGTATGCAAATATTATAAGCAAAGTAACCGAAGATGAATAGATAGAGGTTACAGATATGCTAAAAGAAAATATAGCACCTGGTATCTCAGAAATTGGCTACAAGCTCATTAAAAAAGTAAACGCAAAAATAAAAGAGCATTTTATAAAATTTGCAAACTAAATAATATTAAAGTTTTCTTTTAGACAGTATTCTTCCTAAAGCTGTCTTTTAAGTAGAATATTAAAGCCTTGTATGTTATAAGTTACTATATTAAGATTAAGAGTAGAGTTAGCATAATGTAGTATTAGAGAACTTGTTGTTAGAATAGATATGTTTAAATTATTATCAATATCAGGAAGTATAAAATTTGTAAAGGATTTAAGAAGAATATTATAGTATTGAGAAAGGGTAAAGAAGTGAATTGGTACATGGTTTAAAAGTATGTTATTAGTATAAAGGAGATATATATATGCTTCATTAAGCTATTTGTTAATTAAGAATCTTGTTAGTTTAGTGAATTTTTGTTTCTTTAAATATTTCATAAAGAAGCTAATTGTTTAATCTGAGTTAAGTGAAGGAAGATTATGATATTTTAGAAAGGTGTTATAACAGGTTAGTGCTTCAAAGGGTTTTAATGATATTGGAATTAGAAGTACAAAAAGGTCTTTTATATATATACTTACTATATGCTCAGTTTTTACAGCTATACCAAACTCAAAAGTCTACTCTGTATGTTGAGTCTAACTATTATTTATTTGAGTTGCCACATAGAGTTATTAAATAATATCTGATTACTTAAAAATAATATAATAATATTTTGTTCACTTTAATTATTATATAATAAATAATTATTTTTCTTTTAGTATTATATAATAAACTATATTTTTCTATTAGGTCTAGTGATCTTAGTGTAGTAGTTAGATTGTTGGACTGCTATACAAGAGGTCTAGAGTTCAAATTCTACTGTCGACAGAATTAAATAATTATCTAGACATCTGTATTCAACTTATGGTAAACTCTGTTTGTTTCTGAAAGTTGTAACCCTGTAAATCATATTACACTAATATTATTCAGATATTGGAAGTGTGATGAAATGCTTGAGGAATATAATATTACACAAATAACACTTAATAGGATCTACAAACAGAGAATCTGCATAGCAAAAATTCCAGGTTAGATGAAGTAGTATAGATTTTGAAAGTTATACTAGTTAACATTTGATCTAGAGAGGAAAATCTGCATATGAAAAGATTAGCAACTAGGATGTGAGTTAGTCTATTAGAAAACCTGCATATGAAAAGATCAGCAAAATAAGTGTGCATAAGTTTTTTACATGAAGTTATATAGCAATACCAACTTAGCTTGGTGGTTAACTGAATTTGAAAGAATCTGTTTCATGTAATATCTGAAGACATAGATGACTTTTGGCAATACCAATTTGGATGGTAACTAGATTTGGGAGGATCTATTTAATGTGATATTTGGAGGCATAGATAACCAACTTGGTAGAAAGCTACAGTAGGAACTGGGTTTGTATGAATATCAAATAAGAGTATATGCAAGCTAAATTGAAATATAGGATAGCTAGTAATATGCTATATATAGTACTATATGTACTGTACTATATATACTATACGTACTGTATGCTAAAATTTTTGCTGAATATTTATTAAGAGGGTCTGATATTCTAATTGAATAATTAAATTCATTAATTGATCAATACAGATAATTCTTGAAGAAGTATTCTTATTAGATAAATTAAACTTATACATATTGTATTTAAAGTAGTGATCTATCTAAAGTAGCTACTTTAGATATATAAAGCAATATCTAACTGAAATTAAGCAGATTCATATATGTATTAACTAGTTAAGTACTATATTAAATAGCTAAAACAACTACTTTATACAGTGGATACTTTATTTGCAATACATGCATAATAATTATAAATTCAGATAATAAAAATTTTTATCTATTATTAAACCTTTCTTATTCTAATGACAAAACTAAAAAAAATTTGAGATTATTTTACAAAGTTAGAAATTGTAGATAGATATATACAAGAAAGAGCAAAATGCAATTATTGTTCTTTTAAATATTTAAGTACAGTAGTATGATATGAAAAACATTTTAAAGTATATTCTAATATAAATATTTCTGTCTTGCAAGAATATTTTGAGCAAGATTTTAAACATTCTAGAATCAATAGTCCTAATCCTAGATATACAAAAAAATGATTAATTAGTCAACTATCAATATTATCAAATAAACGAAATAGTAATATTACTTAATTTTTTAATCCACTAAGTACTAGTAAACAAAAAAAACTTGAATTTAGTTTTGCAAAAGCTATATTTCAATGTGGTCTTCTACTTTCCTTTTCTGAGCTTGAACTAATTATTAAGCTTTTTAAAAAAAATATATCTATCATTCAAATTGCCTATATGAAAAAAACTTTTAACAACATTACTTAATCAAGTATATAAAAAAACAAGTCTTAAAGTTCAACAATATATAGATGAAGCAGAAAATATTTGTATAATTACAGATGGATAGTAAGTATATTTAATAAAAATAATTTATTTATATAAAATCTTTAAATTATTTTATTTAATATTTAAATATTATATATTTAATTAAATTTAATTATTTATTACTTATATAAAATTAAATATTTTTTTTGAAAGAATTAAAATTATATTATATTATATTTAAATTTATAATATTATTATTTATTATTATAATATTATAAAAATAAATTAGGCTATACAAAATTAATTAATTAGTTTTTATAATCTGACTAGATACAAATTTTTAGACTTCTAAAAAAAAATTTTTATATTTTAATACTTGTTTTAAAAGTTATTTTATATATAATTTTTTTAAAAAAAGCTAGGTAGTTTAAAAGTTTTATGTTATAAAAACTAAGTATTTAAATTTGTAAAGTCTTATAAAGTTTATTTAATATTTAAAAAATTTATTTTATTTTAATTTTAATAATTTTTTAAATTTAAATATTAAATTAAATTTTATTATTTTTAAATTATAAAAAATTTATTAAATAAAAAAGTTAACTTTTATATTAATTTATTTAGGTCTAATTTAAATAATAAGCATTGGACAAATATTATATTTACTACTCCAACTCCTGTATTTATATCTGCAACACCTACTAAACAAATTCAACAAAATGTAATTAATATTGCTAATGAAATTGAAAAAGCTATATTGTCTATTGATATTATAAAAGTTTTAGCTATTATTACTGATAATATATTAGTAATGAAAGCTGCCTAGAAAATTTTAAAAAAAAGTATCCTTTAATTATATTTTTTGGATGTTTAGCTCATGGAATAAATCTTTTAATTAGTGATATTATAAAGATTGAATAGGCTAAAACTATTCTTGAAAAAGCAAAAAAAATTGTTATTTTTTTTCGTAATCATATTATTCTAGCTACTATTTTAAAAAAATATCAAAAAGAAAAATATGGTTCTAACTATAAGTTATTAAAACTTCCTGTTAAAACTCATTGGTATTCAGCAGCAAAATATTTAGATTCTGTATATAAGAATCAATTAGCTTTATATCTTACTATTACTGAAATTTTTAGTATTAATACTATTGAAATAGATAATGAAATTAAAACATATATTTATGAAGAAAATTTTTGAAATGAACTAAAGTTACTTTTAAATTTATTAGAACAACTTGCAATAGGAATTTCTCTTTTTGAAAGTAATATACCAAAATTATCAGAATTTTATAAATGGTATGATAAAATATTATCATTAGAATATAAGTAATTTATTAATTAAATATTTTGTAAAAATTTAAAATTTTTTAATATATAATAATTATATAATAATTTTATAGTTATTATTAAATTTAGATTATATAAATTTAATAAAAAAATATTATTATAATTAGATTTTATTTAAAATTAATTTTAAATTTTAAATTATTTAATTTTTAGATATTCAACAATTTTCTAATGAAATTTGCAATAATATTTTAGATATTTTATCTCAAAGATGAACTAAAATGTATCATCCAGTTATAGAAGTTACATATTTATTAGATCCTAAGTTTGTTAGTTGCAATCTTGAAGAAGATGGAATGTCAATTATATCTAATTTTTTAGAGCAATATTATTTAGATGATGCAGAAAAAATTTATACACAAATACTTCAATATAAATCACAAACTGGACTTTTTCAAAATCAACTTGTTTGGAAGACTGTAAATAAAGTTGATTTAATAACTTGGTAGAATAGCAACTTTAAAACTTCAGCTTCTAAACTCTGCAAACTAATACAACATATTCTTACAATTCTAACATCTTTAGCATCTTCAGAATGAAATTGGTCTGCATTTAGTTTTATACATAATATTAAAAGAAATCAATTAATACCAGATAAAGTTTTTAGACTTGTTTATATTTTTACAAATCATAAACTAAAGTTAATTCAAATTGAAAAAAAAATAATTATGAAAATGAAAATTTTGATAATATATTTGATGATTGGAATAAAACTGATAATGAAGATGAAAATTATAATGATGAAGAAATAAGTGACAAAGAAGAAGAACAAATTAATGAAATAGAAAATGAAAATATAATTAGTAATAAAGATATAGAAAATAATGAATCAGACTAAAATATAAAACATTTATATATTTAGCAAAAATATATAATTATATATTATTAAGAATTTTTCCTTAAATATATTAAGGTTTTTTTTTTAATATATATATAATTATATATTTATTTAAATTTTAAAATTTATTTTTTATAACTATATATTTATATCAATATTATTTAAAGTAAAATT